TTGAATTACTACGCGTTGGATTACCACGCGTTGGATAGCTACGCGTTATCCGAAGCTGCCGTTCTCGCGTCTGCGCATGCGTCTCGCGCTCTGATTGGTCCGTGTTTTTCCTTAATAATTCAGAAACGGAGCTTCAAACCCCATTTTTGCAAAGGGAAATCTTATTCAGAATCACGTCAGCTACCCTTCATTTCAGGGACCTACTAATTGTGAAATACCCTGTACATTACATAGATTTACGCATCCAATTATTTTACATTAATGTACCTAATAATTATACAAATCACTATTGTATTTTTACAAATCTATCAAGGCTTCTATCATAGTATTTCTCGAATGATATTTAATACCTAATATCCAACAGTACATAAAAAGTAGAAATTTTTGAATAAAAGTATCCAAAGGAGTTTCCCAAAGGAAAATGATGAATCTTTCCACCGTAAAGGTGTCTGTTTACAGGAGATGCACGAGATAAGAACTAAAGTAGAGAATCACGCAAAGCAGCAATATAATACAGGTTAATTCTATTTCGTGTACGAAACAATACGATAGAAGGGTTAAACATTGTTCCTCTAGAATTAATATTGCGTGAGAGAAGGGCATAAGCGTCGTCCACGAGTTGGTACCACTGTTCGAGTGCTTTTTCTTCATTCAATCTGTACGTCTTACCGTGGACTATATTATCCCGGTAATCATCCGAGCGTTTCTCGATTGTCTACATTCTGTGCTCCACGTGTAAACTTACAACTTTCGTGATTAGAGACTTTGTTTCGGTAACGATTGTTTTTTTCTTGCTATTTCTTTATATCCATTCAGTAACAAGCTTACACAAGAAGATTAAATTAGAACTAATTTTCATTTGTCAAAAAGTAGCCGCAGTATTATGGCAGTCAAAGTAAAGGAGGTCGATGTCGGGTCAAGAGCTGATTTCGTGACTGCAACTTTATGGAGATCGATGTTTCGGAAATAAAAGCTTCACTGTAACCGCTTTCGACGCCTAGTCGGCTCAGAATAGAGTGACCGAAGGATTTACCTATTCCATTACGCGTCCGAACCTCTTCGCTTCCGGTCCGATATCTTCCTCGGCCTTAGCCCACTCCCGGCACAATCAAACTTACCGATGAATATAAATGCCAAGGGCAAACCGGTCGATTTAATGCCGTCTCCTCGGGGAAGATATTCGACTTGACCCCCTGGGGTATCATCAATCTCACTTCTTGCCGTATATCTTTCCGCTCGCATTTCGCGAATTCTTGCGTGACTCTCGACAAAATGGCCGCCCGTGATTGCTGTTTATTTCCACGGTGCTTCAATGCTAATTCGAGGTTGTAATATTAAACAAGAAAAATCATGTTACAATATTGCTATATTATTTCAAATAAATAAACTCTGCGCCAAATTACTTTTGGACGAAAACTTCAATATCGAAGGAAACATGGCGGCTTAGGAAAACGATACGAGTTTTAATGAAAGCTGGAAATAAGAGTAGGTACAATAGAGATTTCCTCGGTGAGGTAGAAGATGACGTGCGTCAGGTTTCCGTTCGATTATCACAAATCCATTTTGGAAGGATGGAATGTTGGAAATATTCCCGCAGACATTGTTGGAAGGCGTGAAAGTGCGCGTAAAGGATGAGGACGTTGACGACGAATCCGAGAATTTTTGCTCGCTGGCAAATCGACTTGTCACGAAATCCTATTGCCGGCCGCTGCATGTTTCCATCGTTCTTCTCGTTTTTCCGTCAGACCCGATCGAATCTCGGTCGACGCGACGCTCAAATTTTCGAGACGCTTAGTCCAATCATGCTCGTCTCGAATCCGATTTTCCGCAATGAATAACCGCCGTATTCGTTGCTGTTGCGTTTCATTTTCTTTGGGCGGGAATATTGTCTGTTGGTTGATGGTGGGATCGGTGTTTTTGAGTTTGAATGCTTTGCAGATGGTGGTTTTGAAAATTGGGGATTTGGGGATTTGGGGAAATTTTAGAATTTGGAGATTTGGGGATTTGGGGATTCGGAGAATTGGAGGTTTGGGAATTTAGGGATTTGGGGATTTGGGGATTTTTGGGAAATTTAAGAATTTGAGAATTTGAGAGCTTAGGGATTTGGGGAATTTTTGAATTTTGGGAAATTTAAGAAATTTGAGAATTTGAGAATTTGAGAATTTGAGAAGTTGAGAAGTTGAGAAGTTGGGAGTTTGGGGACTTGGGGATTTTTGGAATTTTGGGAAATTTAAGAATTTGAGAATTTGAGAGCTTAGGGATTTGGGGAATTTGGGAATTTTTAAATTTTAGGAAATTTAAGAAATTTGGGAAATTTGAGAATTTGAGAATTTGAGAACTTGAGAATTTGAGAATTTGGGAGTTTGGGGATTTGGGGATTTGGGGACTTGGGAATTTTTGGAATTTTGGGAAATTTGAGATTTTGGGAGCTTAGGGATTTGGGGATTTGGGGACTGGGGTATTTGGGAATTTGGGGACTTAGAAATTTGGAAAGTTTTAGAAATTTAGAAAAATTTAGGAATTTTAAGAATATTAGGAATTCTAGGAATTCTGGGAATTCTGGGAATTCTAGGAATTTTAGGAATTTTAGGAAATTTAGGAATTTTACGAATTTTAAGAATTTTAGGAATTCTAGGAATTTTTAGGAATTTTGGAAATATTAGTAATTTACAGAATTTTGTGAATTTGGAAAATCTTAGGAATTTTTGGAATTTAGAAAATTTTAGTTCTAAGAATTTGAGGAATTCTAGGAATTCTAGTAATTTTAGGAATGTTAGGAATTTTAGAAATTTCAAGAATTTTAGAAATATTAGTAATTTACAGAATTTTGTGAAGTTGTAAAATCTTAGGAATTTTTGGAATTTAGAAAATTTTAGGAATCCTAAGAATTTGAGGAATTCTAGGAACTCTAGGAATTTTAGGAATTTTAGGAATTTTAGGAATTTTAGGAATTCTAGGAATTTTAGGAATTCTAGGAATTTTAAGAACTTTGGAAATCCCAGTAATTGAAAGAATTTTGTGAATTTGTAAAATCTTAGGAATTTTTGGAATTTAGGAAATTTTAGGATTTCTAAGAATTTGAGGAATTCTAGGAACTCTAGGAATTTTAGAAATTCTAGGAATTCTAGGAATTTTAGTAATTTTAAGAATTTTGGATATCTTAGTAATTGAAAGAATTTTGTGAATTTTTGGAATTTAGAAAATTTTAGGAATTCTAAGAATTCTAGGAATTCTAGGAATCCTAGGTATTCTCGGAATTTTAGGAATTTTAGGAATTCTAGGAATTCTAGGAATTTTAACAGTTTTGTGAATTTGGAAAATTTAAGGAATTTTAAGAATCTTAGACTTCCACTAAAACATCACCCCCCTAATTCACATTTAAATTAAAACCAAAAATTCCGAATAAACAATTCCGCACAAAAACATTTATTAGCACCCCCAAATAAACTTCCCCAATCATCCCTGAACACTGGACATCGTCCAAAATTTCATACAAAACAATCCCAGCTAAAACGATCCTCCTCCGATCACCTAATCTTCATCCACGAACAATCCTCTTCCACAGCACTCTTCCACTTCTCCAAAGGCTGCTTTCCATCATCGTAAACGCGTTTGTGGGAAGACAAATTGCATTTGCAAGGCTCGATCTTTCTACTAGATCTCCGATTGGTATTCTTTTCCTTCGGTATTCTTTGCGCGGTGATTATGGTTCTGATAGGGTCCTCGCAGGCATTGTCAGATGACCGTCGTTGATCCGCAACCTCGTGCAGCGTCTCCGTGGATCTCTCCTCTGTGGTGGGTCTATCGGTCAGTTTGTTCACAAAGTGATCCAACGGATTAAGATACTCAATTTCCAACTTCCTCGACACGCCGGTGATGTCGGCGCCGGTCAACGATGTCTGGCTGTCCTGCAGGAAGTCGAACAGGTTCACGGACTCGTTTGACTGCGAGTCGAACAGATTCAGCTGCATGGAGTTCAACACCACGTCGCCGGGTGGGTACTTGTCGCCGTAGAGGTTCTTTAGGCACGACTCGAAGGTTTTGTACCTGTGCGAGGTGTGTGCGGTTAGAGACTAGGGGATTTGGGGGGGTTTGGGTGTTTAGGGAAGTTTGGGAATTTGGGGAAATTGGAAAAATTAGGGAATTTTGCGAATATGGGAAATTTAGGGGACTTGGAGATGTGGGAATTTGAGGATTTGGAAATTTAGGGAATATTAGGGGATTTGGAGAGTTCGAGAAATTTTGAAATTTTGGGAATTATAGGCATTTAGGGAATTTGGGGAATTTGGGATATTTTGAGGAATTGGGGAATTCGAGATTTGGGAATTTTCAGTATTTAGAGGATTTGGAAAATTTGAGAATTTAGGGATTTGGTGATTTAGGAATTTGAGAATTTGAGAATTTGAGAATTTGGGAATTTGAGAATTTGGGAATTTGAGAATTTGAGAATTTGAGAATTTGAAAATTTTAGAATTTGGTAATTTGAGAATTTGAGAATTTGAGAATTTGGGAATTTGAGAATTTGAGCATCTGAGAATTTGAGAATTTGGGAATTTGAGAATTTGAGCATCTGAGAATTTGAGAATTTGGGAATTTGAGAATTTGAGCATCTGAGAATTTGAGAATTTGGGAATTTGAGAATTTGAGTGGAATTTAAAAATTTTGGAATTTGAGAATTTTGGAATTTGAGAATTTTGGAATTTGAGAATTTTGGAATTTGAGAATTTTGGAATTTGAGAATTTTGGAATTTGAGAATTTTGGAATTTGAGAATTTTGGAATTTGAGAATTTTGGAATTTGAGAATTTTGGAATTTGAGAATTTTGGAATTTGAGAATTTTGGAATTTGAGAATTTTGGAATTTGAGAATTTTGGAATTTGAGAATTTTGGAATTTGAGAATTTTGGAATTTGAGAATTTGAGCATCTGAGAATTTGAGAATTTGGGAATTTGAGCATCTGAGAATTTGAGAATTTGGGAATTTGAGAATTTGAGAATTTGAGAATTTGAGAATTTGAGAATTTGAGAATTTAAGAATTTGGTAATTTGAGAATTTGAGGATTTTGAGTTTGAAGATTTGGGAATTTGCAAGTCCGACAACTTGAGAATTGTAGAATTTCGAGATTATCAGAATTTTACAAATTTTTGATCAGTCGACTTGGAAGCTTCGCGTCTTATAAACTCCAAAGTTTAAATTACTTAGTGACTTGTAAATCTGGGAAATGTAAAGTAAAATTTCAATTCCGATATTTCCCAGACTTGCCATCTACAGTCAAGGTTTGATATAAGCGAAAATTTAGACTCGACAGTTTCGCTTATATAAAATCATTACTCTGCTTCTCAAATACATCACACAACAGACATTTATACCTATACGAATTATAGTTCCACGTGATATCCACCACAGGAAGCTCCTGATCCGTCTTCACAAACGTGCACGAGTGCTTCACACTGAACACCAAACTTCTATTAGCATCTTTTCCTATTTTTCTGACCGAGGATACTTGTGGAACTACAGGAGACGACGACACAGTTCTCAAATTCGTTAGAGATATCTTCGAGTTTGATTTCACGTCGAATATAACTGGTTCCTTAGGATAATACTGCAACAGCTCTAGAGATGATCTTCTGTTCACATCTTCCGTGCAGGCGTAATAGTGGAAGAGGGTACACAGCTTCTTTGGGTTTAGCTGGAAAATATTAAGGGGGGCAATATCTTTAGAATCTTAAAAAATTACAAAATCCTTAATTTCCCAACTTCTGAAGCATCCAATTTCCCAATTTCTCAATCATCCAATTCCCCAATTTTTCAATTTTTTAATTTACCAATTCCTAACTTCTTCATTTCCCAATTTCTCATTTCCCATTTCCTCAGTTTCTTAATTTCTCAATTTCTCAATTTCTCAATTTCTCAATTTCTCAATTTCTCAATTTTCCAATTTCCCAATTTTCCAATTTCCCAATTTCCCAATTTCCCATTTTCCCAATTTCCCAAATCTCTAAATCTCTCAATTTCTCAATTTCCCAATTTTTCAATTTCTCAATTTCCCAATTTCCCAATTTCCCAATTTTCCAATTTCCCAAATCTCTAAATCTCGCAATTTCTCAATTTCCCAATTTCTGAAGCATCCAATTTTCCAATTTCCCAATTTCCCAATTTCCCAATTTCCCAATTTTCCAATTTCCCAATATTCCAGTTTTCCAATTTTCCAATTTTCCAATTTTCCAATTTTCCAATTTTCCAATTTCCTATTTCCCACTTCCTCCTGGAAAAGTTGGGAAATTTGACAAATTGAGAAATTTGGGAAATTAGGAAATTGAGAAATTGGGAAATTGGGAAATTGGGAAATTGGGAAATTGGGAAATTAGGAAATTGGGAAATTGGGAGATTATCAGATTGTGAGATGGGGAAATTGGAAAATTAAGAATTTGGGAAACTGAGAGATTGAGAAATTAAGAAACTGAGGAATTGGGAAATTGGAAAATTGGAAAATTGGAAAATTGGGAAATTGAGAAATTGGGAAATTGGAAAATTGAGAATTTGGGAAATTGAGAAATTGAGAAATTGAGAAATTGAGAAATTGAGGACTTGAAACTTGAGAAATTGAGAAATTAAGAAACTGAGGAAGTGGGAAATTGGGAAATTTGAAAATTTGAAAATTTGAAAATTGGGAAATTGGAAAATTTGGGGATTTGAGAAAATTACCTACTACACATAACCTATCAAAATATGTTGCAAAAATATAAAGAAAACATAAATGCAGAAAATAACGTACAATTAGCATGCGAGGTTGAAGAAGCTCTCAACTACAACAACAGGACCTAGCAAACACACGAGAAAGATATAAAATACATAAGTTAGTCGATGAAATAACGTACAATTAGCATGTGAAGTTGAAGAAGAAGAGGTAACAGAAGAATCATGGTGAAAATTATGGCGCAGATGTTCTCCATGACGAAACCGACGAATCCCTGTTTCTCATGAAAATGTCTTCAGCCTTTGCCTCATCGTTTCGTTGCATTTGTTATCCACGGAACACATGGTAATTTTATGGGTTCATTTTGCGTTTTGATTTGAAACGACGGACATCGTCGAGGATCGATGATCTGTCATTCGTTTGTTCGTAACCTCTCGAGCTTGTGAACCTTTCGACAATTTGTTGACGTTGACGTGTAATATGTGTCCGGTAGATTTTTTATTTGATATTTTTTGGCGCTGAGAACATGATCTGTTTTTATGAATGACGTTTTCATTATTGCGTTTATTTATGTAAATTTTATTTGGTTTTATGTTATGGAGTTTGGTATAGGGTGTGGTGCTTTGTATGTATTGAAATTTTTAGGGTTTGTTGACAGTTTATGTGTATGGAAGTAAGGTGATGTGTGGGGACAATTTTGGGGGAATTTTCGTACTTTGGGATTTTTTAGAGTTTTGGAGTCTTTGGAATTGAGAAATTTAGAAATTGGGAACTTTAGAGTTTTACTATTTTCTTAATTCTTAAATTTCTAGTTTTTCAATTTTTCAATTTTACAATTTTCTGGTTTCCATGTTTTCCCAATTCCCAATATTCTAATTTCCTTATTTTCCAATTTCCCAATTTTCCAATTTTCCAATTTTCCAATTTAAAAATTTCTCAATTTCCTAATTTCTTAATCTCTCAATTTCTCAATTTCCCAATTTCCCAATTTCCCAATTTCCCAATTTCTCAATCATCCAATTCCCCAATTTTTCAATTTTTTAATTTACCAATTCCTAACTTCTTCATTTCCCAATTTCTCATTTCCCATTTCCTCAGTTTCTATTTCTCAATTTCCTAATTCCCTAATTTCCCAATTTCCCAATTTCCCAAATCTCTCAATTTCTCAATTTCCCAATTTCTGAAGCATCCAATTTCCCAATTTCTCAATCATCCAATTCCCCAATTTTTCAATTTCTTAATTTCCCAATTCCCAACTTCTTAATTTCCCAATTTTCCCATTTTCCAATTTTCCAATGTTCCAATGTTCCAATTTCCCATTTCCCACTTCCTCAGTTTCTTAATTTCTCCATTTCTCAATTTCTCAATTTCTCAATCTCTCAATTTCCCAAATTTTCAATTTTCCAATTTCCCTATCTCATAATCTCATAATTTCACAATTTCCCAATTTCCCAATTTCCCAAATCTTTCAATTTCTCAATTTCCCAATTTCTGAAGCATCCAATTTCCCAGTTTTCCAATTTTCTAATTTCCCACTTCCTCAGATTATTAATTTCTCAATCTCCCAATTTCACAAATTCTCAATTTTCCAATTTCCCAATTTCCCAATTTCCTAATTTCCCAAATTTCCCAAATTTTCCACATTACCCAAATTACCCAAATTTCCCAAATTTCCCACATTTCCCAAATATCCCAAATTTCCCAAATCCCCAAATTTCTCAAATTTCCCAAAATTCTATGTATAGTTTCATCGTCATCACCGACTCCGTGTTCCCATATAAAATAATGAACAGCATGAAATTAAATTTATTAATTGACTCCCCCAGTCTCTTAAAGTAAAATTAATCCCTCCACTCCGCTCTCTGTTGGGAAGAGATTGACATTTTTTGCATCCTCAATTAGAGCTAATTACTTAAATACGTGTCTCGTGGACCATTAAATAGGATTATGAGCTTACATTAGCTAATGTACAATACATACAAATGATGTCGATTTCTGGATGAATTTTATTTAATAATAATCTCTTAAGTGCCTTACGTTAATGATAGAGATATATGCACATTCACAAAGATTTCTTTGATAAAAACCACCATACTTCATCAGATACCTAAATCATTAAATAACACTAATAGTGTCTCTAAAATTTAATAAAAATTTAAGATCTGTTAATCTAAAATTTATGAAAAATTACAAGTTGAATTTATAGATGATTTAAAATTCGTTTCTGGAAGAGTTACGTAGTTGATTAAAAAATAATCCTTCAAGAGTCTTATGTTAATAAATGAGAAACATTTTTGATAAAGTCACTTTGGAGAATTAAATTTGAAATTATTCGACGAAAAAATTATTATGATTAACGTAGATACAAAATAACATGGTGTTTTATTTTGATGCTTAATAATTATTAATAAATAATTGCCTTAATATCGTAATAATATAAGAGACATAAAGTAGCACTTACAGTACATTATTTTGAAACTTAATAATTTCTCAATAAATATTTCCTTTGAAATCATAATAATCAATAACAATAATTTATTAAAGAATTATTAAGCTTCAAAATAATATACCTACACCTAATATTAAAAATAATACAAGTATTTTATGTTCACGTTAATAGATCGGCCATCACGCGTCGCGAGCGGCGGCCATTTTGTGCACGGCGTTTCCCGCGCAGTTCAAATCGAACGAATGACTTCCGCGACTTTCAGTAGAAAACTATCTCGTTTCAATGGAGAATTAGTCGTCGTTTGGAAAATCCTTTCCCGGTCACCAGATTCGAGTGAACGAGTTTGCGGTGAGAAATTTCAGAAGGTGTTCAAAGTATCGAGAAGCTGACTTCAGTCAAAGAAAAGTGGAGGCTGGCGATAAAGAGAGAGAGAGTTCCTTCAAGGTAAAACACGTCTGCGTTTACTTCCCGAGCGAAGGAGGAAATTCTTTGTATTTTTAAATGAAGTTAGCGAGAAAGGTGTACACCAAAACTTTTTCTTTCCTTGGTTCTTTCAAGCGCCCTTTCACCCCTTTCTTTAAGTTCGCTCGAGGATGAGGTCCCTCGCGATGTATTGCATGCTGAATCCTTTTTGCGATTAGGGAGCTTGCAATCGTGAGAGTCGGAATTGGAATTTTGAAATTCAAACTGTAAAACTGAAAACTGATTCAAAAACCGGAAACCCCGCAGTCTAAAGAACTTAAAAACTGAAATATTCCAAACAACAAAAATTGTAAAATTGATATATGCGTCCAACACAATGTCCGTAATATACCCAAAGTAGAATCTCGTCGAAGGCGAACCGAGGCAAAGGTAATTTCGTCGAGCGATCCGTAAGAAGCGTCCGAGTGGCGCGTGACCGCTGACCCCGGCCATATAACGGATACAATTTAGGAGCGGTCGAAACAGGCAATAGCGCGTCCTTCGGAGCGTAAATCATTCGGTGGGTGGTCCGGGCCGACTACACGAAGGAAAATGGAGAATAGAAGTGCATATCTTAATTACAATATTCCCACGGGTTGAACACAAGAGGCTGTTGGCCGGCCCGTCGACCGACCAAAACCCCTTCTCAGCCTTTCTAGCCGGCCTGTAGGAATTTAATTAATTTGCCAGTGGCAACCAGCCTTGCTGCTTGTCGCTACACTGAAATATTGTATCCTTCTCACCCTTTAAAACCCAGCGGCAACCCTCGAGCACCACGCCGTATCGCCTTTGCCCTCGATTGCCCGGCTCGTGTTCCCTTGCTACGGTAGACGAGCACCCGTTAATTGTTCTGATATCATTGAATTTCAACGGGATATTGACGTGTGGAGGATACTGGATTCTGTGGGGATCAACGTGAGATGAGAACGTATTTGGGTAGTTATAGTTTTGCTCTTGCGTGGGAGAGGGGTTTGGGATGTGGAGAGTTGAAGGAGGGATATAAGCATTTGGCATGGTAGGATCTTTGTGACGCATCTTGTGACGCAAATTAAAATTAGTACCATCGAGTTTTCGTGACGCACCTTATGATGTAAAGCAAAATTAGTACCATCGAGTTTTTGTGACGCATCTTATGACGCAAAGGAAATTAGCACCGACAAGTCTTAATGACGCACCTTATGACGCAAACCAAAATTAGTATCAGAGTCGTAGTGACGCACCTTATGACGCAAGCCAAAATTAGCGCCGACAAGTCTTAATGACGCACCTTAGGACGCAAACTAAAATTAGCACCGACAAGTCTTCATGACGCACCTTATGACGCAAACCAAAATTAGTATCAGAGTCCTGGTGACGCACTTTATGACGCAAAGCAAAATTAGTACAATCAAGTGTTTGTGACGCACTTTATGACGCAAGGGAAATTAGCACCGACAAGTCTTAATGACGCACCTTATGACGCAAAGCAAAATTAGTAACATCGAGTCTTCGTGACGCACCTTATGACGCAAACCAAAATTAGTACCAACAAGTCTTCATGACGCATCTTATGACGCAAATCAAAATTATTACTATCGAGTCTTCGTGACGCACCTTGCAACGTAAAGGAAATTTGCATCGACAAGTCTTCGTGACGAACTTTACGACGCAAACCAAAATTAGCACCAACAAGTCTTCATGACGCACCTTATGACGCAAACCAAAATTAG